TCATGTAAGATTTGAGGGTAAGTGCTGCAGGACCTGAACTGCCGCTATTGTAGAGGACGATCACACGGTTACTATTGCTGTTGTGCGCGTCGACAATGCCTGGCATAAAATTGTCAGTGGATGAGTCCTGACAAAGGGCAAAAGGGGCAAAACAGCGAGGACGACTACCACTGTTCAAGGAGAGTACGGTACCAATCACAAACCGAGTCTTCGAACAAGGGTATTCAGGGAACGTTATATATGCATATTACGTGTGGAATCTCATAGCACGGAACCCCCCTCGAGGCGTGAGATGTAACATACACCATATCTTCGTGACCGTTAATTCTTTCCATGTAGTGTGGAATGAGACAGCAGTGTCCTCACCTCCCGCTGGGCTTGTGATGACACCCGTCGTAAATGTAAGGGTCGATGAGTGTTTCGGGTTGAGTGCTTCATTTTGACAACACTCATCATCGTCTCTGCTTTTTTACTCCATGTTATTTGAAGAATGAACTTCTGTGGCGAGGGTGGGCGGTGCTTTAAACACTGTGCTCCCTGCCTCCTGTGTACCGTGTCGGCACTCCGTCGCACAAAACAACTGATGGTGAATTTTCTTTCTCTGATGACTGCTGTTCTTTAGTTTGGGCGCGGTTCTGGAAAATGTTTGGAATATTCCCCAGATCCGTTCCTCATAATACAAAGCCGCCGTTCTTCATCTACTGGCATTCAGTGGTAACCCTCCGCAGGGACGACCGGGGGCGGGGAGTCTTCATGAACGAGGCTAACACGATGCTAGCATACTGCCGTAGTTATTGTCATCGATGCGGAACGTGCTGTTTTCTATTTTCTCCTTGAAAGCAGTCAGATATAAAGGGGCACCGCATATCAGTTCCTGTGTCCGCCTACAAAAAACGCTGTGCCTTGTGGACCCAAAATGCTTGCTCTGGTCGCTTTCGCTCGCGTGCTCATGATCACGTTGTGGACACCTCCCGCCGCCCGCTCTTTCCAGCCACGACACACATTGCCCCACAAGCTATTGAAAATCTTTTCGGAATACTTGTGCGAAGTTATCCTTCTCCAAGTTGTGTTCGAGAGGAAGCTACTGCTGTTTGAGTTTCAAAGTGCGGCGAATCACCCTCAACAAGAACGGCAGCAGCCAACATGACACAAAGACGATAATGAGAAGTTCTTCAACTTGCCGATGCCGTGCTGCCGAACGACAAAAATAATGGACAGCAGCACAACAATGGTGGGTGTCCAAAGTACGCGAGCACGCATTTTCAAGTGCTGGGCCGTGGGTGTCCAGTGATTGACGAGGTTCGCTACAGCAGCACACACCATCCAGCCAATGAAAGCGCGGAAAGAAGACTACTTGCATGCAACAGGGGCCCAGTAGGTGCTCCCGTCGCGAGAGGAAACAAGGCGACTTGAGGACAACCATGCTGGGTGGCATGCAAAGCAGCTGCCGTATGTGTGTACTGCAAGTTCCGACAGTATTCGCGGGGCGATCAATTCCCCGGATTTCTCCACCTTCCCTCAAGCTGAAAACAAGAACAGCTCTCGTTTCCTAGCTGCGTGGTGCGCCCGGCACGGCCCGCATCGCTTTTCAGGGGGGTCGTCGTGACTGCTGTATACTACGTGTGGGCGGTTCGTTCGGGGATCTGTAGTGCTTGCTCCTCGTAAAATTTGCACCAACAAAAAGCCTACGTTTGCAAATTGAAGCAGGGTGCCGGTGGCCCGCCCCCCGGGCGGCTGCCGGCGGGTGGGTGTTGTTGTAGTTTGTAGTTCGAGAGCCTTGTGCTTTGCAACAACCACGACGCACGACCGTCTGCTCTCGCTGCCACTGCTGCGGCTGCTAACGCTGCCCGCGTCGTGCATTTTCGAGCTCGTGATCCCACACGAGACACAAACCAAAACCTTCTGATGCCAACAACAACAACGTGACCGCCGACCCGTGACGATGACCTCTCAGTGAGGCAGAACTTCGACGACCGCAAAAAAGAGGTTACGCCGCTACTTCCCCGAAAGCATCAACAAACCGCCCCCCCACTGCCACCCACCGCTGTGCTCGTGATATTTCTCCCTCCGGCGGCGACGCTCGAGTTCCCTTCCATGGCATAGCTCCTGCGATGATTCGCGTACCCGTCTCCATGGCCACTTCTCGCTGCTGCGACGGGGGAGGTAGTCTGGGTGAAAAATCTCTCGGTGGCGAGACTATCCGTTCGAAACGAGGACAGGCGCTGTTCCGTGTAGCGAGCCCCGATGCCTCCCAATCTGAGGCAGCCACCCGCAATCCTTCGCGGCAACATCATCGTCGTGGGAAGGCGCTCTCTCTCTCTCTCTCTCTCCTTGGTTTTGTGGTGCGAGTTTAAATCACGTTTATGATGCGATGCGGACGGTAGATATGCCAAATGTGGTTCGTTGGTTGCTGTTCTCGCGTTTAGCCCATGCACGTACGCATGTCGCCCGTTATCGATTCTGCGAAGTCCCTTCTCCGACACTAATACGACTCACTGGAGCCCTTCAGCCAGCACCGCACCGGGCTGAGAGCCAGCACGCGGAACAGAGACAGAGACAGAGCGAGCGGAAATGGCGCTACTACCGACATGGTTGTTGTGGAAGGAACTCGGCCCTTTCCACGTGCTGTTCTCGTTGCTTGCCGGCTTGTGCGGCTGTTGGCTTGTAGCGGCAAGGAGGCGACGCACGAAAAACGACGGAGAGGCCTTGTTCGCTGTGATACTTGGGTGAGAGATAAAGAGACAGAGCACACAGGCCAGGCGCTAACACACAGAACCAGCTAGCTTGTAGAGACGTGTTGGTTGACTGCTGCTGTTCATCGCCTACTTGCGGGAGAGTTTTGTTTGCCAGCATGTCCTCTGTTCGGCAGCAGTAGCCGCCGCCACGCCACAGAGTGTTGGTGCGGTGCTGCTCGCGACAACAGCGCGAGGCAACAACACCGGAGATCAATTTTATTTTCAATTTTCAATTTTCAATTTTCGATCTATCTGCCCGTGGGCGACATCCACACCCCCCTGGACGGAATTTCAAAGCTCGACTACCCCACGAAGAAGAGGATCCATAAAGCATAAACCAAGCGATACGTTTTCGGAAAGATCTCGACAAGACGGTTCCATTCCGCCATACTTCTACTCTCTAAAGTATGTAAGTAGAAGTATAATAAATAGTCGATCTTTTGAAAATCGGTCCAGGGGGTGCGGTATCTTGTGTCACGTACTTGCTGTAAGTTTAGTCCGCATACGGTCGGCGGAGACATGCACAAGCAAGCGTACAGCACTGTGTCTTGTTCGTGCGTGCATGGACGGATTAGGATTACCAACGGGACTAGCTAAACGGGACTGTATTTTGTGGTGTCGCTGATAGGAACTGATATAATAGTTACCCTGGGTTGGGGGTTTGGTTGATCCACGGTGCTCGGGGCTGTGAGAATGAACGCAGCGTGTTCATTCTCTCTTCCGCCACCTTGCATCTGAGTCTTGGTCTCCTCTGCTGCCCTCAATACAAATGATATGCAAGCATGTTCAACACACACAAGGCTTTTACGAACATGTGTGTCTCCACTCAACGTGTGTGTGTGCATACCGTATACGACACAAGATAACACACCCCCTGGACCCATTTTCAAAGCTCGATTACTCCATGACCAAGGGGATGTACGAACGAAACGATACGTTTTCGGAGACATCTCGACCAGAAGGCTTCAACACCGCCGTTTTCGGCACCCCTACTCTCTCTGCTGTTGATAAGTCGAGCTTGGAAAATCGCGCCAGGGGGTGTGTTATCTTGTGTCATATACGGTATCTCACCTCAACACGCGCAGTGGCCACTCTCGGGGTATCTTGGATCGTCCAACGGTAACGAGCTAGTGGTCTCTCGGGCTTGCGAGTAGTTAATACGTACTGTAGTCGGTGTCTTATCGACACCCGCGGCATGCAAGCCAAAGGTTATATCGGGTTCGTTCGGACCCGAAGCTCTCTCTCCGTCTCTCAGTAACAACCCATTGTTGTCTACAAGCGGAAGAGTCAATTCTGATGCGTACGGCCGTCATTGCTGCTGCGGCTGTTGTTGTTGTTGTGGTTGTGGTTCGCTCGGTGGGACCTGATGCCTAGCATTCGCTCCAAGTGACACAAAGGTCAAGTATGTATGCAGATCCGGGGCGGTCGAGATGTTAGCCCAACCCTCTTCTCCACGCCTCTGACTGCTGTGGACAAGTAACAGGGCCGAAAAGGTCCCATTTCGTGGGCCGCGGTACGTGTGGGACGTCTGTGCTCTCTGTCCCGTCATCGGTGGACGAGGCAGAGGGGAGGGAGCGGACCACCCAAACGGCTTCCAGCACCAGCAGTGTTTTTTTTATTGGCGCGCCTCTCCTTTCGCCCCCCCCCCTCGCTCCTAACCTCGGGGTCAAGTTTCATTTTGCCTTCGTGCTCTGCACATAGCTTATCCACCTGTACTTGCTGGTTTGTTGCAGCATCCATCATCAACCCTCACCTCCAATTTGCTGGCGGTTTTTCTTTTTCTTTTTTCTGCTCCGATCCCAACAACAAGCATTTCGACGGGAAACCCCGAGTACCGGGTTTCCAAGGAGCAGGCGTTTCGGCACGCTGCGGGCGCGACCGATCCGTCGAGCCCCATCGCTCGCGTCCTCGACCGGGTCTACAACAACTCCCGGATCAACAATCGGTATTTCTGCGTACCCGACCTGGCGGCAGCGGGAGCGGGCGCGGGGGGGTCAGGGCTGGGCGAGGAGCTGCGGGAGGATGACGCCCGCATCCAAGCGATGCTCGCGGAAAGTATTTTAGCGGGAGAAGGGGGGGGGGGGGGGGCCCCCCCCGGGGCCAAAATTTTTTACCCCCAAAAATGCCAGTAAAAGGAAAAAAAGGCTTCCCCTAATTTTCCAA